TGCACCTAACATAAGGTTTTGAACTGCACATCAGGGGCCAGGCATCAAAAAGTTAGGTAATATAATGCCAAACTTTTTCTTAGACTTAGATTTGCCTCCCTAGAGGATACGCAAAATCATCTAATATACTAGGAAAACAAGTGTCACTGATGGTAATTTGTGATCTTAAGTCCTCTTAATGTTTTTGACCATCTTCCCATTTTTACTCACTTGCAATTACTCCATGTGAAAAATAAATCTTTGCATTTGCAGAGCAAGCATTTATTTCTATCTCTCAAAGCTCCTTCCAAAACTAAGTATAAACATTATTAGCTTGATTTTATAGCTGTCCTAAGTGGAGAGATAGGCACCATTTACAAATGAGGTTCTACCAAGGATGTAGGCATAACTTATGATACTAGTTTTCTGTTCCTGGCACTGCAGCAGGCTTCCCTAGTGACCCTTGGCAAGATGTTCAGTTACCTCACTGGAAAACGAGGATAATGGAATGGGTCTGACCTTTTGGGAATGGTATGAACAGTCCTCATAAGGCTTGCGGAGGATGGAGAATTTCAGTGGAAGAATCAAGGCACAAGTCCTGAGCCTAGCCCTGTACCTCAGGAGCACTTTGGAAGAGAATGGCCACCAGTTATATCCTAGAGGTCTCTTTCGGTTTTCAAAGATATTTTTTAAACATTTTTTTTCTTCTTTTTTTTCCTTTTTTTTTTTTTTTTTCCCCGAGCTCAAAACCAGCAGAACAAAGCCTACCTTTTTTCCCTGGTTTTGTATAAATGATGACACACCTACTTACAAAAATAGCCGCCTTTTCTTAAAAAATCACTGTCCTTGCCCTTTATGCATGTCTTACATTTCAATCAGTAGTGGTGTAATATTCAGGAATACAAAGAAATAGGAAGTCTTAGGAAAAAGACAAAACCAGCAATCTTGAGGCCCTTAATCTGACAATCTATCCCCTCAAATAATGCAGAAGTTTCATATCACGTTTTACTTGTTGATCTATTTTACCCCAGAAAGTGAAAATATGACCGTGTTCCTTTTCCTTACGATTGTCAGATCATAGAATATGAGGAATAACAAGCTGTTCTGCGTATCAAACTGAAAAGAAAGACTGAATTTCTAGTGTGATTGATTAAAAAGCTGTGGCTACAGTTCTAGAAGAATGCTTTTTTCCTTTAAGTCAAAGTGAATTTTTGTTGACACAACTAGGTCTGGCCATATTGATCAAATCAAAGGTCCATGCTACCAGGCACCTTTCCTTCAGCAGAAGCCAATAGAAAATGCCTTAGGAAGGGAAGAAAAAGGGGCAAACATAAGAGTGACACACACTCAGTATACTCCTATAGTTTCTAGTGATCTATGATTCCGGGATTTTTTTTCAGTAGAGTTAGTATCTGCACATTTTTTCCTCTCATGAAGTTGTCTGATTACATTTTAAATATTAAAAAAAAAAGTGAGAGTCACAAAATACTGTAGCAGTGAGTACCACAGTTTAATGACAGATTATGCAAAAAAACCCTATCATGATCTTTCTATATTTCAGCTAAATATCATATGCTGGTATTCCTCTTCCTGCTAAATCCAGCAGAAAAATTCCATCAATATTGGGGTGTGGGAGATTGGTCTCAGAACTACCTACTACTACTATAAAAGCAATAAATATGTTTTAATTGAAGCTGGTCTGTCTTCCTCAAAAATCTGATTTAAGGGATTTATATGGCAAGACTGCAGAAGCAGTGAGCTACTCTTTTCAAGTAATGGAGGAAATAAAGAGAATGAAATAAGGAGAAAATCTCACACTAACTTTACTGAACTTTTGCAGAAACAATCTGCTCTGCTTTCAGTGCAGACACAGAAATGTTGTAGCCAACATAATTTAAAAAACTGAGATAAGTATGTTTGTTATGGGAGGGGATAATAGAGCTTTCTATTAATGGAAAGCAGTCCGGCTGCAGCCTGAACTGTCGTGTCTTCCCTCCCCATAATCATGGCATTAATTACTTCATAGGTCAAATTATGTTTCTGTTTGAAAGAGTTTGGCCACCTACGTGAATCAGGGCATGCATATTTAGATCTACTGTATCCTCTAGCATGGGCTTTTATTCTTGTGTGATGCATGCGGGCTGCTAATTTCGCTTTTTGCTGAAGATGGCCCTCTTTTTTTTTCCTCCTGTACAATGGCAGTCTGGTTCCGAAATATATAGAGCAAGCACGTATTAACTGAATCGGAGGGCAACTATAGTATCTCCTTTGGCCATATGGACAGGATTTTTCTTTAAAATAAAAAGGCCAAAAAGTGACTGGAACAATGCCCAAAGGGGAGAATAAAGACAGACATTGAAAGGTGAGCTCACTAGATTTATAATAGCAGGGGACACTATCATCCTTCCCAGCCAGCTACCCAGTTAGCGGTAATGCCTATATCACAAGAAAGGCCCAGGAGATTCTTCGTTAGAAAATAATGGATACAGCTATTAATAAACTGGGGAAGCTGCAGCAATCCACTTCAGATATTGGTAATAAATTTTATTCTCCAGATATGAGATTACATAATCCAGGCAGGCAATCAGAAAAGCACTGGGGTTTTTTTTCCTGTGTGTATTAGTGCTATTTAGAGGAGCTGCTCAGAAAAATTTTAAGGAATTAGAGTGCTTCTGTCCAAAAAGAACCAAAGAGCCAAAGCCAAGGGCTTTGAACAAAAATACTGCTCATCGTTTAAGCATATGAAGAACCTGGATAAGACTCAGGGCTCACAAAGAAGTTGCTGCTGCTTGTATTAACCAGATCCCACTGTTTGTGGGAACAGCTTGTGAAATGATTTTGAACATATCAGAAGACATACAGAAAACATTAACGTACTGTAACACATAGCAGGGCTTGTTCAGTCAATGAAAGCCCTTTCACAGTGGGCATTAGTATCACCTCTACAAGAGCCAGTAGTGACCCTGCAGTTTACCCGCCAAAAACTATATGAAGACAAGCAGTCTTGGCTTCAGAAAGTTTTAGAGGATTAGCTTATCTCCATGTGCAAACAGAGGTAGGAATCTTGTTGCTCGAAACTTTAAATAAGAAGCACAATGGGAAGACAGGAAATAAGCCTGAAAATCCCAAGATTGCTAACCCTAAACACATCAAAAATACCACAAGCTTGTTTAAAGAATTACTGTACTTCAGAGCCCTGTGATATTTCAGTCTCCTGGCTTGTCTGCTGGTGTTGAGATAAATGAATTCAATGTTTTGACATTCTTCTCAGTCACAGAGGTTAGGCATTTATTTGTTTGTATAATGATAGCAAATACCCTCGTATTACCACAGCTATGGGAGCTGAGAGTTGTAGAAGCCCTTAAAAATCATGACCTTGCAATAAGGTTGTGAGTGTTGCCATGAGTGAACTCCAAAGACATTTCTGAAGCTTGTATAAGCTCTCTCCCTTCTGACTTGTGACTGAGCATATAGTACAAGAAATCCCACTGAAGCCAACAGAAGTTAAAATCCCCTTTACTTGAGGTGCTTGGTGCTTTGCAGGATCAGAGCATAAGCAAGGCTTATAAATTAATACAATCGGAGTGATTTTTTTCTTTAACTGTACCTTTTTAACTGTGTAGCAATCTTTAACACCACCTTTTAGGAGAAGTCTGACTCTAAGAGGATAAGCATAATACAGCAAATTTGAAAAATTCCCTGACTCCCCGGCACCACACATTCAAGTCTCAGGGTCACGGAACCCTTCACCTTTCTCAGATAGATAAGATGACTACTGCAATATTTAATACAAGATAAGCCACACAAGTATTTGACTTGATTTGACCTCTCAGACAGCTTACAGACCCAAGAGCTTGTGTAACCTGAACCTCTGCAAGGAAATGGATATTTCTGCATTCTCCTGCAACTCCAAGAAGTGGCATCTTTGGAAACATGAAATACAAAACGTGCTAAAAGCTGTTAGACAGCAGTACTCCTGAACACATTTCTTTAGCTGTATCTGCTACTGTCAGTGGCCAAAGCTTATATTCACCCAGGTACACTACCAGGCTGAGCTCCAGCCATCTGTACAACTACAAAGCTCCATTCCAGAAGTAGCAGCACATCAGAGGTAAATGGCAGGTACACCAGACAGCTCTACTAGACCAGATCAAGGGCTACCTCACCCAGTTCCCTGTCCTCAGCAGTGGCCAAAGGCAGATGCCTAGAAAGCAGAGTAATAACAGAGCTAATTGGTCCTTGTTATTGGCACGCTGTTGTCAGAGACTGCTTGGGCCTCTGACAGTTTATGATACAGCCTTCCCATGAGCCATGGGTGTTTTCTGCCTGTTTAACAACCATGTCCTCACTCCTCTGAGCTTTTGCCACTCACCAAACCTGTGCAAAACAGCACCACAGAGCTTGCCTAGGTATTACATGAAGAATTGCCCCCTCCTCTGTGCTCTCACCTGCCACATGCAGCCCTCCTTTGATACTAGCTCATGTACCAAAATGGCGAACAATCAACCCTTACTCTCTCCTTGTGCCAGTCATGGCTTTATAGACAGCTGATAGCTGATACATGCCCTCTCTACCACCCCTTTTCCAGACCAAAATGTCTTGATGGCTGTTGTTTACCACTGGCTGTCTCTGATGGTTCTTGGGGGCCTTCTCTGGCAGGAGGTGGCACTACAGGACACTTAGGGTGCTGGCACACTGCTGACTGAGGCAGCGACCTGCTGGTGTTGGCTGGTTATCCCCCAGCTGCCATGGTGGCCAGGCAACCCCTGTGCTGGTGGCAGGAGCCCCCCATGACACCCCTTCCCACAGCAACTAGGAACCAGCCAGAACAGATCCACCTCAGCAGCCAGGACTGTGCAGGGCAGGCCTCCCTCCCAGCAGCCGATCAGGGTGGCTTGCAGCAGACGGAGGCCAATCACAGCTGCAGGAGGCAGCTGCCCCAGTTAGTGGGAAGTGTTGGGGGACATAGGGGCTGTGGGTGGTCAAGGAGGTGGTGGCAGGATGGCTGCCCAGCACCAGCTGGTGGGTTGCTGGGAGAAGCCAAAGTGAGAGCTGTCAACCAGGAAGCCAGCATAAGCCTTGGGTGGGAAGAAAAGAGGCATGCCATGAGCAGTCAGTATGGACAGACCACAGGCTGGCTGCCTGCTGCCTTGGAAAGTCACGGGCTGTGCACCTGCAAGGTACTGGTAAGGTAACAAGGATCATAGTTCTTGTTCAGAAACTGTTTTGCATCTCCCACTTGTATTACATCAGCTTCACCCATGACACTTCATTTTCTAACAATTACTCGTGTAATTTGCCTTGTATTTGTTTTTCATTTGCTACTCAACAATGAGCTGATACTTTCATTAACGATGCACTATAAACTGAAGATCCTGCTCCTAAGTGACAGTGGGCAGCTCAGAAACAATTATTTTGTATGGAAAGTCTAGATGGGTTTATAGAGGTACATCACTCTATTTGCGTGTAACTTGGTGGTAAGGCAAACACCATTCCTGCTTGGTCAGACAGATATACAAGCATAAAGTTACTTTCTTCATTAGAAAACACGACCAGAGAAGAAAGATAGCTGAGAATATCCATCTCACACAATAGTCCTGATGGTATTTTGAGTAAAACACAAGCTCTGATCCCCCAGAGAAGTTGGTCAGGAGAAGACAGCAAGATGCAGGGGGGCAGCAAGGACAGCCACAGGCCTGGCCATGCTCCACTGACTCTCCCATTCTCCCTTAATTGGCTGCCCAGGAGTCCTTAGATTTTCATACAGCTTCTGTACAAGTGTTTCTACTCACATGAAATACATACAGATTCCGAGTACATTAACCCTGTCTTCCCATGTGACAAGGTTTCTAGTAGTGGCTACTGTCACAAAAGAAAGCAATCAGTGCCTGAAGAGAGGTACTTACAGCTTGCCTGCCAGCTTAGTTCAGGCTACAGTACTTCTGATGTACCAGCAGATGCTGTCATTCGTATTATTGTGTCATCCAAATCTGCTCTGAAAAAGGTTCTTACCTGTTGGTAAGGACATAAGTGGCTCATCTACAGCTGAGGCTCTGGTAGTGCTACATGTAGAATAGCAATAGTAGAAAATTTGCCAGTGCAGACAATTTAAAACAGCCAGAGAAATAATCAACCAAATATCAATCAGCTTTTGCAAAGCATTCCTATTTCAGAAGCAGTAATTCCTTACAAAAGTATTTCCATTTCTTCTTTTGTGCTTCAGGGTGCACTCCAATTGCCTCTGAAACTCCAGGACAAAGATTCTTGTCTTAATCTGAGCGCTGTCTAAATAGCAATGGTATTTTGAAATTGCCTGTAAATTGTCAGAAACTTGGGGATTGCCCCCCCTTTCTGCTGTGGTATCAACAGAAACTATAGACGACAACAATTCAAACTGCATAGTTGGAACTGAGATTCTCATGCTAACAACAAAGATATGCGTATTGTTTAGAATGATTTATGAGAGCTTCCGGAGAAGCCAGGACCACTTTAAACCACTTTGACTAATAAGAAAAAAATCACTACTAAATAATTTTAGGAAAAATACTGGATGTAAATCAATTAAGAATTTTGATATGTTCTTAACGCTATACTTACCTGATAAAAAAACCTTAAAAATCTTCCATTTCCACTATTATTGCATTTGTTTATACAAATAAATAAATCCCTGTTCCAACTCAGTTTATTCGATTCACAAGCTTGTAAAGTGTTTAAACTCATCAATGGCATAAACGAGTGGTTCCCAAGTTGTGATGCATGCACAAGTAGTTGTGTTTAAGCTACTTCTGGGTGGTATATGGTATAAAGTTGCCACTGCCAATGGATGGACCCTCTAAGACTGTGGTCTCCAAAGTAGGATGCACACAAGACCACCCATGCGGGTGCAGAAAGAAATAGTTTTTGTGTGCCATTAATAAATATTTTAAAAAATGTTATTTCATCTATTTTATCTTTTGCTTATCCTTTTTCTTATTTCTATTTTGTGTATGTTTTATAATGTACATAATGTATTAGCACATGTATATAATTCATAAATACATGATTATACATATACTGGGAGTACATGCTCGTAATTTTTTTCTGATAGGGGCACACGATCCAAAAATTTTGGAGACCATCTTTTTAAGGATCAGTCTCTAAAATGACCAAAGTGGGTCCCATGATTTGACAATTCTCCCCACAGAAACTGGCAAATGTTTCTTGGGACTTCATGCAAAGACCACTGAAATAAACAGAAGCCTTTCCAGAAACTTCACGTGGGTTTGGGTCAGGCCCATAAGAATTACAGCAGCAGAGGTAAGAGTAGGTATCTGGCATTCCTGAACCCTGTTCATAGAGTCCTGCCGACATTGCACTACATAATGTATTTTATAGATGGAGAGGAAGGAAAAAGTGGTTATATGTAATTCTGCATAGCAAGAGTAATTTTATGATGAATACGTAGATAAATATAAAAATGAAGTATTGATATAGGGCAAGATACACGTTTGTTGGATCACAGTAAAGGGCATAATTAGCAAAGCATAAATTTAGCTGTCAGCTATGTACTTTTTCTAGTGTTACACAACAATCATAAAAAGCATAACACTTGACACTGCTATTGTAAAATAACTAATACACAGCCCACAAGTTTTGACAAAAAATTGCATTCTGTCAACCTAAAAATGGATGCCATCTTATTTCTTAGCCCATGAGTTGTCCACTCATGAACACAGCATTGCTTCTAACAAGAGGCACTTTGTGATATGAGACAACAGTCCCTTTCTGTCATGGATTTGGTTTATTGTCGACAGCTATGTTTGGATGGCATTGATCAGCACGAGTTTCTCACTGACCATAGAGCCAGAGATTTAACAGGAGCTGTGCTTATACCTGATGCCAATCACATTGTCCCTCAAGCAGTTCAAAGCTACCTTCTTTTCTCAGATCTGAATGATTAAGAAGGGCACCTGAAACATAGCTATTGCTGCTGCTGCACTCTAGGAGTGTTGCAGTGTAATGACATTTCACATTGTACTGGATGCAAAAAGATGACTGATGCTTCCAGATCATCTTTAATTGAATAAAACACATGGTTATTAATAATATTTAATTATAGAGGATATAATTGAAATTACATTAGCTCTAGAAGAATGTGCAAATATAAAATCAGGGCAACATTTTAGTACTGACTCACTACTCCTCCACTTTTGCTAGTATGATCAATAGGACATTGACTGATGGGTCTGCACTAGACTGTTCTCTAGGTACTGGCACACTTGTGCTATGGCTGCTGCTGTAATTTCAACCTATACACAAGGGAGGGACTCAAATGATTTCAGAGGGTGCAGAGGGGCTCATTCATTAGTCTGGCCTCATGAAAGCTTGCTCTACTGCAAACATGTTACAGGCTACACCTATTTTAACATAATTAAAAGACTGAATAAATCAATGTGCAGCAAGTACCTCCCTTTATATATGCACTAATGATCTTAGTCCTTACAAGAGAGCTTTCCTTAGTGTCAGGTCACAACATCCGGTTGGCCTTTCAGTACTGCAGAGGCAGCAGAAGTTGGTAGCCTGAACAGCCCAGTGGCTATAAGGGCTCTATGGCACCACCAAGCTTTTGTAGCTGTGCCTGCTGCTCAACAGACTTGCTTATTTCCACCCTCCTGGCAGAGCAAGCAGTGCCTCTCTCAGCTGTCCTGCCTTAAAGATCACTGCTATTGTTAGTGTGGTAAAGAGCCCCTGTCACTGCCTCCAAGTGCTTTACAATGCCAACATATTTTCTTAGGGTAAGTCCCATTATGTGCTTTTTATAAAAGGGGAAGCCAAGTCACAAAATGTTTGGGTGGCTTATCCAAGATTCCAAAGCAGCACTGAAGTGGTAATTCATACGTAACCCTTGGGGAAAGCAGCATATTTCACGAAATCATGCTGCACCCCAACCATAAATAATGACACCTGGATTCAGCACTTTCAGATCTTCTAGCTATTCTGTCCCTGACTGATGGCTAATGGAATGAACTGCTTTTATCCCCAAAACCTGAAGAGAAATAGGGTATATTTCAAGCTTATTTTATGAGTGAGCCCATTGTGGAACAGATAACAAGGTTGTGGTTCCCAGGAAACTTTTCATTATAATCTGAAATAGGCAATTTTCTAATGCATATAATATTTTAAAATAGAAACTCCAAGGGAGAAAGACTGGTAAAAGCAGTCTTGCTTTTCACCATGCAAGAAAGGACTAGCAAACTCATATATGCCTGTTCTCAACACCCACCGCCCCCAAAAATGTCTTTGGGCTTGCACTTTAGGTAGGGTGAGGTTGAGGCTTTTGAAGGTAGTCTGTCAGACAGAGACAGGGGGACCCCAACGCACAGTGCACTCAGTATCCAGGTTCATACATTGCCTCTTCACCAGCAGCACCCTAATTCTACAGTTCACAGAGGTGAACAAGAAGGGCACAAAGCCTACTGTACACCTCCAGTACACCTCCATAAGGTTTATGTTTATATGAATGTGGTTTCTATTATTGGTTTATAGTCTGTAGCATGTCAACAGGAGATAAAAAGGAAAGATGGCTGAGGAATTAAATTATCTATATTGCTGAGCAAGCCTATTTCAGTCCACCTGAAATAGGTGGACTTAAATTTGCCACCTGACATGGTAAGGTAGAAAAGGTTATGTTACTCTTCAGCTCAAAATGCACCTGTCTAAGAAGCCCTAACATCCCTCATTAAAAGGGATAGTGCATGACCTAGCATTGAGGTTAATACTAATACGTTCCCCTGGAGCCATGACTGTGGTCCTCATTACCATTATACTCTGGATGTTGTTCTAAACACTGGCACCCTAATTGATAAACAGACTCGGCCAGTTTCAGACCTCAGAGACAAGCGGCTAGAACTGGAGATAGCTATCCCTTGAAACGGACAAGGAGAGAAAATGTCTATTTTTTCTGCATTAGGTGTCTGCAGAACTTTAATCAATCTTCATGTGATCCCCATAGTTCACAGATAGAGCTACAGTGCTTGAAGGAAATAGGTTATCTTTTCCCACTGTGAGCTGCTATTTCTGAGAAGCATTTGATGCGAGCCTGAACTAACCATGCAATCTGAATTTGAAAGGACCATTAACCAGGAAAAATTAAGAAAATACATAGAAATGACTGAGCTCGGATGGCCAGTTTTCCAGCTATGACCTTTAATTCTTCATAAAGAGAAGGTGCCTTATAAAATCAAATATTCTCACCAATCTGGTTATTTAAACAGAATGGTGAATGATATTGTACGTGTGGAAAGAATCCAAAACCAGTCTGGGTGAAAGAAAAAAACTGCAGTTATAACCCAGCCTTTTTTAAAGAAAAATTAATATTTAAAGCACATGGTATATTATTTCATCAATCTTACACAGTGCAACTAGTCTAAATATGTAATTGTACCAGCCATATATATAAAAAAACTGTGAATAAAATCTATTTTTTTTAAATCTATCAGAATACTCAACATATATATATATGTATGCAAGATATATCTATCTATATATATGTTTAGAGACAGAGTGTAACCATGCAAACGAGGTCTTAAGCAACTTGTAAGCTGCCACATTAAGTTACTTATACAAGACTAAACCATCAAAAACTCAGCTCAGGCTTTATTTCAGAGGTGTATAGATTCCAAATGGGTTCCTTCATATCAAACTGCCTGAATAAGGTACACATATCCTCACTGACAACTTTCAATACAATATGCGCTTGCTGGCACTAAATGTTTGCCTGAATCATGGCCAGAGCACACAGATGAGTTGAAATTCATGTACCACATATCAATGAACTAGTGCTTACATTCACAGGCAAAGAAAATTTTCTTTACAGAAGTGTCATTCCCCTACACTATCTAAATTTTGTGAAATGAACAGATTTGTTACCCATCTGAGGGTACAATCCTCATTCTCTGAAAGGAATCACGTTACTGCTGAATACGTGAAGAATGTTACTACCTTCTGAGTAAAAAAGACGTTAACAACAACAAAACAAGTCACTTATCAGGTACAGGTTTAAACCCAAGGCTTTTTAAAGCAGGAAGTTTTGAGTTCCTAGTCCAATACGTATTTATTAAAATTGTATTATCATAGCACCTAATGCCCCAGGTCACTGGCCATCCCACTCTTACACTTGGCTTTGTATAAGCATGCATTGAAGCAAAGCGCATTCCCCAGGTAGTTTACAGTTCAGTTATAAACAAAGATACAAGAGGCACACAGCATGGAAAGCACTAATAAACAATAAGATTGGTTAATGTAATGCAATAGATTGAAAAATGTTGCTTTGATGTGGCTCTTCTTCCACAGTTTGGCCTTCAAACAGTCGTTAAAAATAGCTAAAATACCTGAATTTCTTTCCTAATAATACTTTCCCAGGTGACCATATGCCACAGGGATGCTACACAATCACTAATGGGAAAAATACCAAAGATCATAAGGGGAATGAGTCATGAAGCAGTGAGACATGTTCTAAAAATATTTACAAATCCTTAGTTAGGAAGAAAAGGGGATGTTGCAAATAACACTTCTTGGGCAACAGGATTCTTTGTGTGGATAAATGGCATATGTGACTTAACAAATAGCAAGCTTTTCATTTGAGACTAATTTTCAAAGTGCTTATGAATATCTCTCTCCTGAATTTCTTCCTCAATTTTTGCTTAAACTATCATGAGTCTTACATGTGGAAAAAGAACAAGCTTAATCGGGGCAACTGTAAGCCTTTCATCAATTCAATTATCCGTTAAAGGACTAACTCATTGAACTTAGCCATGAAATGTTAGAGTTGCAGGGCTGCTCCTGTCTATCAGCTCGTGTCCCTGAATTCTTTGTACCCTTAGGGATGTTTAATCTTTTGAGAAATGTGACAGTCTGCCTTTTGAGACTGCCCTCGGCACAGCTCCATTACCAATATATTGACAGATATAAGGCAGCATGGAAAGTGAAGCAGTTCACACCTTGTGTCTGTCAAGCTGCTTTCGTCTTCAGACACAGGATCTTTAAAAACTACTCCAGGACTTTTCAAACCATTAACTTACATTAACAGCATCTGATTTTTACCTTTTTCCAGGGATCCATGGATCTATAGCAGTATTACCTCATACTTAATTTCCCAGCATCTTTACTTTTTGGAAAATAGAATATATTATCGTATCTCCAAGCATACAGAGGGCTTATCTTTGAAATGTTCCTTTGCTGTCAGAAGAACAGGCTCAGAATGGGGAGAAGGATTCACTGATACTGCCAGTATTTCTGACATTTGCGACTGAAATGTGAGTTGATTATTTCTATATGTAAACTTGAATTTGCAGTTTCTCTTCCCTCCATTTTGAAGAGCGATGAAGAGAGACAGTCGTTTCAGAGGAAATTAAAACCAAACATGTCACTTCTAACAACATACTCATTTATAAAAATTAAATTCAAAACAATGCAGGACTAGCCGTGGAATATTACAGACATCTTCATGAGGTCAACCATCATTTCTGATTTTGCAGGACACACAGATATGCAGCTGTACTGATATCAACACTTCTTTTGGGGGATAACACTATACAAATTGGCCAACACTGGGATTTTCTCCTTGGTTTGCCTTATGTGAATATTATTGTTCTAGTGGCCTCGTACCTCACCTAGGAAACATGATGGTTCAGATCCTGCTGAAGAGCATTTTCTCTTAAAATAAAGACTTCTGTAAAGATAGTAGAAAACAACAAAATTACTTTTTATGTTGTTCTTTTTGTCCCTTAGTTCCTTTAAGATGTTCCTTTAAGATGTTTGTTCCTTTAACATAAAAATGCTAAAATACCAAAAGACATGATATTCAAAGTTAATTTTCTTGAATTTCAGTTTTGAGGAAGTGAATCTCTTGAGAGGGAGGGAGGGAGGGAGGGAGATAGACTGACAGACAGACAGACACCCACATACTCTAATTTCCTGTCTTTAACCAAAGTCACCAGCCTAATGCTAACACAAGATATTTACTGGACCTTATGATTTCTTGCCATTTTATGGCATTTTCATCTTATGTTCTTGCATACAAGGTTTAAGAATGGTACAGCTCCAGAATTACATTATAAAATTTTTTAGTCAGTAGTTGGAAGCACATTTAAGAAGGGACTTCAGAAATGCACATTGTACATCAGCCTTTAAAATCACTGGCAATATTTCCTAGTCAAAGTAGTAAATACTTGGTCTAATGTAGAATGAAAGACCCAGGGTTTGGTACTGAGTTGCTGTCCTTTCTATCAGTGAAGTAATCATGTGTCCAGCTAATGCTAGACTATGTTGCTGTCAATATCACTTTCAAGTTATTAGGTCCAATCAATGCTGGATAAAAGGAAAAATGGTGGTCAACAGGCAATCTAGCTTTTAGTTTATCACTCCCTTGAGGATTTTCATTATCCTTTCTTTTTCTGTTCTCAAGGTTAGCTCTAGCTAGACTATTTCTAGCTTCAACTTCCTGGAGATAATGCACATCCACAATAGCCTTGCTCCTCCAACATCAGTGTGCCCTTCCACCTGAGTAAGCAGAGTCTTGTCTTTTTTCTATTCTTTGTGACCTTTTCTTGGGTTAAAAGGTCACTCCTGAAGCAGACAGGTTTCACTTCTTATGGTGATTGCAGTGCAGAAAGCAGGCTTCTACCTTGTTAGAAGTGACATCACTGTACATTAAAGACATCATATCTCCTTTCATATTAAAATGCCTGTCAGTTCTGCTGCTCGCAGGCTGTAAATCTGCCACAGTATCCTGTGCTTGGGAGCTTTCATTATGAAAATATGGAAGATAAGCAATCTGCTTTGCTGTCAAAAGGAGAAAGTAGTCTGATAGTAATGAGGTTACTTTAAAAATAAACACACGATTTCTTAAACATGGATTATTTAATGTGGGGCAATTTTTAATAGTGATCCCTTTTTTCCAATTCCTAAAAAAAAATTAAAAAAATAAAAGAAATCAAGCTTAAATAACAGTATGAGTAAAGCATGAACAGACAGTCCTATAGAATTTATTAATGCATAGATTTTGCACTTGCTCATGCAGTAAATCATTAGGTTTTCCCTTTGACTTTGGCCATCCAGCCTTGAGGGAAATAACATAAGAGAATTTAACTTGGTTTTCATCCTTATATAGATGAAAATACATATAGATACAGAAAGGCTTTGTATGTTCTGCAAGAAAGTGATAACATTCAGCTCTTAATGCATATGACTAGAAAATATAGACAGTAGAAAAATACCTCCTAAACAGCAGAGAAAATAATAAATAATTACTGATAATTTTCTCATCATAATATCATTATGTTATTATATAATTATATTATGATATGTATTAATATATATAATCTCTCAGCATAATGGCATCCTTAGGATATTGACAATACCTTGTTATTATATAAAGTTTTCATCCATTGATCTGAAAGTACTTTAGATATGTAATTCTCCTTGTTTAACAGGAGGGAAACTGAGACACAGAGAGGTGAGATTACCTGTCTTAACATTGACAGCAGCTCAGCAACAGAAGCGAGAACAGATCCTGCATCTTCAGACTGGCCTATCCAACACTTGACTTGCTTATTTCAAAGTGGAAATTTGCATCATTTATTGGTGTACCCCTGAACTGTTCACACAGATGTGATTAGTTGTTCATTAATGGGCTAAAATTACCACAGGTATTTATTATTTAAAAGTTAATAAATCTCTAACCATTTTGTGCAAAATCCCTATTTCCCTGCTATTCCCCATTTCCATTAGAATTTCCTTGAACTGAGGAAACTTCAGCATAGTATGTGTATTTCAAATTTCACCTTCCAAATGACATACTCCATTGTTGATACTCTGAATGAGGAGCTAAAATGAGTAGCTCAAGAGTTATTTATGGACGATGAAGCCTTTCACCTCCAAGGCATTGATTTTGATGTCTGAACCCTACATCCATATATATATATATATATATATATATATATAGGCTGTGCTGTGTGCATTATGTGAAATCAATTGGTAGTGTCAGTGTCATAAAAAAGGAAAAAAAACCAAAACAAAATTATTTGGATGAGGAAGGCAAATGCATAAGAAAAATATAGTAGCTGTGAAGATAACATGGTTGGGATATGGTCTGATGAGGCGAGACCAGAGGATTCCACATATGTCATGGAGGAAACCACAGCATGTGTCACTCAGTGGAGCTGGACATGAAATGAAACAAGAAAACAAAGAAAAGAAATTAATGGTGTGAGCACAGCTTGTTTCTTCACCTTCCAGCTTCTCCTGACTATGGAGGGGATTTTCTTCCTGTTCTTTTGTGGAACGAAGTCCTCTGTTTATGTAGAGCAGAGCAGAGTGAAGTAATGAGAGCTGTAGTTCTTTAATGATCCAAGTCATAAGGATTTATAACCCATTTTACAGCAATGTTGCCAACACCCTCCTAGCCACAGAAGCCTGCAAGGACTACTGATCAGGCTTTTGTATCATCTTTCTTCTCAGAAGAGCCTTTTGAACCTTTTCAGTTTCACAGTCACAAGTCTTGTCTATACTGTGTGCTTTCTTAGCATTCTCCGCTGTTTTTAGCACCCATGCAGGTCCACTGGCAGCAGCAAGGGTGCAATTTTTGATGACAGGTGGTCTGGATTGCTACAGGCCCTTTACGCTACTGCCCTCTAAATCTACTAGGTAGGATTAGATGAGTAAGAAAACATAGGTGTTGGTTTTGCCCTAAAGCTCCTACAATTCTCAGGACTAGTGGAGCTGCACTGATAGCACTGATAGCACAGATGGCAGTTTTGCCTGAAAGCCAAAGAACAGACCATGGAAGAGTGAGTCAGTTGCCCTGCATCATTCCCCTTTCCTAGAAGATAATATTCATCCATACGTCTTACCACAGATCTGGAACAGTTAGTAGATAACCTTCAATATTGTTTTATATAATTTTCCCAGCAATATATTTTTTCTTGTAAAAGTAGTCAGAACTAAAGTATATAGGAATATTTTCTTGCATGTGTGAACACCATGAAATCAGATCTGAACATCACGTTTGAGGTTATACTATCTTTGAAACTTTTATATCAGTCACAGGCCCTGGTGACTGGATCACAGGCAGTGATGCTATACTGACAGATCTATATTTATAGATAGCATTTTTATTTTGGCTAGAGTATCCATTGGAATTATAATAAAGTTAAAAAGAGAGCTGTATGATATACTGTTAAAATTAACTTTTCACTTAATATGAAACTTTATGATTTTGTTCTATTCCTAACAAAACTGTTATACACATATATACAGCTTCAAGTCCTCCCTTTTGATTTTACATATTTTTATTGCTATGTTACGAAATAATCACATTCCGGTTTGTTCCCTTAACCTCAGAAATAATTGTTCTGTAGTAAATGGCCAAGAACTGGGGCCATTGGAAAACAGCAGCTCACAAATGCTCTTCAAGTGACCTAACATTGACATTAAATCACATTTTATTTCTAAAGAAACTAGCGTCTCCAGTTAGTAAAGGCACAGAAAGAACAGAGTGATTATGCCACAATCTCCAGTATTTTAAATACTTAATTGTTTCACTTCCTGGATTAACAGTAAGTTAAATATTTATATTTTAAATTACTGAAGCAAGAAATATTTGAGATTTCATACATGTATCTTCCCTATGTTCCCTCCACTTAAAAATATTTTATACTAATAAAACCAACTTCTTCCATCTAATCAAATTTCTGTTAATTGAATGCAGGAACTGAGCCACTGAGGATGCAATTCACCCAAGGTCACCCTGGAAGCCTCTGGCAGAGGCATATGGGAACCCAGGTATTCCAAGTTACAATGAACACCATCATTTTTGCCCATTTCCAGTATCCTGACAACAGTAATGGGTATCAGCAGAGTAAACACTGACTTTATAGCCTTCACATATGCCTTACAGTCTGGCTAATATCCAGGAAGGTGCTCCTCACATAGGCAAACTCAGCTATCTGCATACTGTACAAATATACAATAGCAAAAAACCCTAAAGGTTTGCAAGCCCAGAGCTTGAAACCTTGATCTCTTTTTTCATGTCTTCATTTCCCAGTATTTTTTCTTAGTATATGTCAGCAAAAGCTCTGAATTTCACAGTTATCTACACTTATTTTTTATGTAATGTTGTGGTCTGTGTCAATAAAACTCAATTTTGCTACTATTACAACTACTACTTAGATAGTGCTAGCTGCTGCACACAATGAAGTAGCACTGCTGGGTTCAGGCTTATGTCTTACAATTTTTCCAGGACTAAAATGTATGGATAGAAAAAAACCTACTCAATTTATTTTAGGCTTGATCCCTAATCCGCTTCTGGCTGAAATCCATGGAAAGGTTCTTGAGATCTTTCTGAGGAGAGGAAAACACAAATTTTCCCTGTAAATGAAATATCTGTGGAGGGTCAGATAAATGGGAAAACTGGTTTGAGAGGGCAGAAGTCAGGTGACGGGAGATCCAGTCAGTTCCCAAAAAAGACTTCATTGTCCTATGAGTCAGATTACACTTCTTCCCCTGAACATCAGCTGAAGCCTTAATTGGAAAGGGTCAGAGATGGACAGAAAGGTGGCTGAACACTTTTTAATCTTCCTTCCTCACTGCATTTCAGAAAATGGTATGGCCTGTTTTTACCATACTACAGATTAAAGCCGCCTCATGTTTACTTCATATCCCCGGCTCTGTATCAGAAGGATTTTGTGGGAGCTGGGAACTAACTTTGCAGATGCTTCACACCAGCAGGTCAGTTTAAAGTAGCTACCTCAGCCCATGTCTGTGATTAAACTTGACACCAGAGTTTTCAACCTGAAGTACTGAATTAGCATCATCGAAGTGGCTATGGAAAAGTTGACATTGAGATGTCATCTGGAATTGATATTGACACTGGAAAAAATAGAGAATGTGTGTTTCTTTGAGGTAAATATTTTAGAAAGTCTAAACACAAAAGTCTGTATCCAATTCCGTCATATTTTGGGTAGACTCTAGCCAAGCGTTGCAAAAACCCCCCAACTGGAGCTTCCAAACATTACTTAATAGAAAGCACAATTTTCACATGGTTTGTCAAACTGTATTTTAACTGGACAGAAAGTAGGAGAGACAAACATGCGACAAAAGGTAATCACATCACTTAATCCATGAACACCCCAAGGTGGCGAGCACAATGTAAGAACTTGAAGACAGAGTTTTATTAATTAAGCTCTTCTATCTAAAATCTGTAGCACAGACCCAATATTTTTTGATTAAGGTCCAATTTAAAAATGCATTAACTTTTTAATTGAGAACATGGCTGGGAATCAGCAGTTCTGATGATCTTAGCATAGCATGGGAAATAATGTTGGCTAACTAAGCCTTCATTTAAGTGGAAAAAAAATCTTTGCTTTTTCACTTGTGGGCACAGATAGACTATCATTCAAATCCTGAAAGTCTTGAACTCTCCCGTCCAAATGCATGCAAAGCAGGATGTAAAACCTCTTAAAGCTCAGGAAAAATCTGGTTCTTTCAGGAAGCCAAGGAGAGCACTCCCTGGAACTTGCAGGGATTTAAGTGAACTCTGTAGGCTTCTGTCAATCTTCCTTTTCTTTACTACTTTTCTTTACTAGGAGCTGAGCTCTCACATCATTCTCCCCAGCTCCCTGAACACCTGCTGATAGCTCCCTGTTTACCAGGAAGCTTGCCAAGGTACCCACTAGCTCCTACCTGACAACAGCCTGGGGCCCACAGCAATGAGGGGAAAGATAATCCCCACTCCTCAGGCAGAGGAGTTGTTTCAGGACTGAAAAACCAAACAAGCCACTCATGTTGTTTAAGCTTCCTTGTCATGGAATCCCATGGGAGAGCCATGGAGAAAGCATGTGTGGTGCCTTCTTGATCCAAAGTGGATGGAAAGGATCTGCAGGCTGAGAGTCTTATCTTGAATCCACTGGAAGAGCTTTTGGATCAGGGCAGTGCGCTGTTTGTTCAGCAGCCAGGATCCATTGCCGAGGTTTCTAAACCCAAGCTGTGACAGCAAACAATCTAACAGTTATATTTTTGATACAAGCTCATGGAGATGGATTTGTTTTGAGATATCTGGTGAATTTTGAACAGCTCATAGATGCAGCCTTAGTACAGACAAGTAAATCGCGTAACTTCCACCAGTAGTACGGAGAAGTAAATCACGCAACTTCCACCAGCTTCAGTGGGAGCTGAACCTCAAGTTCCACCTCTCAAACTCCAGAAGTGTAACATCATGTTTACTTCAGGGCCCCCAGGAAACCTGCAATAACAGTGCTAATCTTGAATTGCAGTGGTTCTTGACCTCGACAGTCTTTCATGGAGGCTGACACCTCCTTCTGCCCCCACATACTCAAAGGCTCTAAACAAGGTAAGTTTCCCCATATTTGAAACTCATTCTTGGCCTCTTACTGTACTGCATACTTTTCAATGACTTTTGCCCCTTTTCTGTCTAATCTAGGAAGGCACCAGAGTTGAATGTTAAAATCATGGGATATGTGGCCGAATGGGTTTGTCGTCTCTGACACAATCTTCGGGTGAGGATTATTTATTACAGCTTGGGTTTTTTTTCCCATCTGCTGGTTGTAACCGGGGATTATTTAGGCTGAATTCAAAATCTGCCACAGACATTCTTTTGTCATCTCGATTGTTGTTCTTCTGTATTTAACTTATGTAAATGTGTGTACTTCACAAGGAGCAGAAAAACTGGGCACTCCTTTTAACACATTCTGTACCAAACATAGCCAACTCGCTCTATGGAAACTTCTGTATTTCAAGTAGCTGGGAGAGAAAAACCTTCCTAACTTCCTTGAAGTGGATTTTACTGCATTAAAGAAAGAGAGAGACTGTCAAATCCTGTTTCATTTTTAAAGTTAACTGTGAGGTTTTAATTAGGTCCTCTGAACAAGCAATCTGCGATGCTTAATGGTTGAGAGTTAGCAATTGTACACGATCCACTGACTCCCATCATTAAGTTCGGTTGACAAAGGCCAACACAACTCTTTACTTTTTAACTTTGTCACCATTTATGTTTGAGGTGAAGATGTTAATATGGAAATTTTGTGAGCTGGGAATGACTATGAACTCTATCATTGTAAGTTACGACCTTTCATCTAAGGCCGAATGTAAAGGCAATTGCAATTGTTCTATGACTCAAGGCCAGCACACAGCAGATGTATGAAATCTGGAATGTTAGACATAAACTTTTATTACCAAATTATAAATAATTTCTACCACTTACAATGTTCACCTTTCAAGTTCATTGTGATTAAAACGCAAGGGCAGCATCTCGCTGATTTCGATGAGTTATACAGCTGAAAAAGCTCCGTCATAGCACACTATGAAAGGATAAAGCAAAGCAGTATTTAAAAGAACCTGCTGATAACAAGGTATGTGATATTTTAGATCAAAATCCTTTTTCCATCTAGATGACAAACAAACAGAATCATTAGCTAATGAAGCCTTATTTTCACTCCTGAAGCTTTGTAATCTTTAAGGAGTTCACTGAATGTGGATTACTTACATCCTTTGAAGACCACCTTTCCTGAGGTCATTGTGCTTTTGCCATTCTGGAAATAACACATTCTTTAGGTTGCCTAATAACAGATGTGGTGACATAATCTTCCTGAATGTACAAGACGGGAATTGTCTTCCCAGGTGCAAATCACGCTACGCCAAAATGCTCAGCAGCATATGCCTTCCTGCATGAAGTTTGCCACTAGGAACAGCATATGAGAATGCTTTGAGACCTGTGGCAAACCAAGGGCAAATTACCTATGATTTGGGTTCATGATTTGGTCTCAAACCATGAAAGAGGGGAGCTAAGGATACAAAATTTGCCAGTCTCAATGCCCATGATTCAAAATAGATGTGTTTGTTAGGTTAATAGGGTAAGAAGCAGGGAAGTAGAAGGATTTTGTTAACTGACATCAAACAACTGAAGTATCCTCACACAGAAAGTGTACTTAAGTGTATGCCTAAGCTAGGTAAAAAGCAGCCTAGTGAGCAGGAGGTAAAATAGCTCACCAGGTTCTGAAGGCTAGCAAAACAAAACAAACTCTAAAGACAAACTCATAAGAAATAATTCAAAGAGGAAGGCTCCCAAATCACAAAATGTCCCTCGCTGGATTTGGAAATTCGTCATAAAAATCTGCCAACCCAGGTATGAGAAATCTATTTTTCCAATCTTTACCATGGAAATTGGTAATAATGAAAACCAATATACTCTCTTATCAAAATATAATGCACTGAAGCCAGTGATAGTGGCAGGAATATAAAACTTTGCAAGCCTGCTCCCTGGAGTAACTACTTTTGTTTCTTTTCTGCTTCAAGTACTGATACAATCAAGTGTACTTGGATGCTCCTGATTAATGTGATGGTTTCTTGGAAACATGGGCACAACATGGCCCAACTTCCCTGCCGTGCCTGCACAGTTAGGTGAGCTAGGTCAGGTTGTTAGCGTAGGAACTGACACATAACCACCGGAATGGTTATATGAGGTGCTTTATTGCAGCGCTGGGAAACCAGGGGCACGCGCCCAAATCTGGCTTCGCTCCTGTCACCTAGCATTCCCAATTTATACAGTATCCAACACGGATTACATCATCAATCACACGTATGCCCTACATCAGTCCATTGCGACATCAGCCTCTTCTGCGCTTGCGCAGCCCCCTCTGGTGGTCGTCCTGATGAAGTAAGGAGTCTTCCTCAGATGAAGTAAGTAGTCTTCCTCGGATGAAGTAAGAAGTCTTCCTCAGCTTGTCCTTTTCACTTTCTGTTCTTTGGACGTGTTCCCACCATTATGTGGAGGTCAGCTGTCCTCCTATTTCCCCTTGACTGCCTTTTGGTATACCTAGGTTCTACTTGGATAGATTCTTACAATATACTTTTCTAATTTATCACTTATACCCTTCACCATACAGGTGTGTTGCTTCCTGCTACCAAAACTACCATTGTATCATTCGTTATAGAATAACCCTGGTATGAAACTACAAAGTTTCGACAGAACCATTCTACTGATTTATGGATTTCTCAAATAATCATTTCTACCAGTTTTACATATATAACTACTCTATCTTTTCAAAATTTTCACTCTTTTCCAACATTTCCCCCCTTTGAAAATACTTCACTCAACTTAAGTCAAGTATTTTCATTTCCTTAGGTAGCTGTTTCCTGATATGTGGG